TTTTTATTGCAAAGTATCGAAATAACATGGTATCATTATTTTTATAGTCACCGGAAAAATATAGAGAAATAGCTACATAAATTGAACCGAATACCTTGTTTTATTCCTCCGTGTTATACTCGTATATTTGATATGCTACCAGTAATTTGAGACACCTGTTGCATAGAACAGCCACAGGGAGCTTAATCGTCGGTAATAATTAAGACCGACTACAGCTTACATTTTTGTAATCAGTTACGTTTATATTATGTTTAGACTTATCATGTACAAGCCNATATTCTGTTATGAATACACTGACATCATTTGTTTTGGTCTTTTTACCACTCATCCGAATTAACGGGTGGTAATCTGTTTTCCTGATTTAAATATAAACCATACCATATAGACAGCGGACTGAGATGAACAGTTTAGTGATCACCACGAACATTATCTCAGCTTTTTCAAAAAGTCATATTTCATAATAATTCCAATAATATTAAGAGGTACATACATTCAGAGAGGTTGTTAAAGAGACGGAAAAGAACCAGACGGTGTATGATCATCGCCATGTTTACTTACCATGGTTTAAACTACCTTGTTCAGTTAGGTAAGCCCTTGTCACGGTAAGTATCGTCAGCTTACATTTTAATATGTTTTTTATTTGTTTTTATTTCGTGTGACACCATTATTTATCATCCTACATGTTCTTATATTTGATGTATACCTTTATGAACTGTTATAATCTCTTTACCTGTATTGTGATAATTTACGAATTAAACACCTACGGATAATGGCCACGCAATGAGATAATTTTTTTATATCTCCAAGAAAAAAGTTCTCCCTGAGCGTTTTCAGCAGGAATAAACTGTCGAAAGCAGACATAAGGCAATAACAATCTATCTCTCCAGACATCACAATATAACGGTTCAGGAAAATGGAACAAAATTATTAACAGGGAATCCCTACCATTTCCAATGGTTGTTTTACCTGCGATAGATGACGGAACTGCCAGTCAGCGTTTTCCTATCAGTATGTATTTCAGTGTTCGTTACACATAACGGGGTTTATTGATGGTTTGATACATTTGATTAGACACGTCTTAGCTAATCTAGAAAATATTAATTTAATTGAAATGTACGGCTTCTTTCAACAAACCATTGAAATCTATATAGTTTGAGATGAGAGTATACATTCAGGGTTTGAACTGAGATTGAGATATTGAGATGTGATTTCACACTGAATAAAGTTACATATATTAATGTGGTCTAAAGATGACATTTTAGGGTATATAAATTCATTTTAAATATTATTCTTTGTCTATTTACGTGAAAAGTATTTCTTGTTATACAACCGTCTGTGAGTATCACTTTGGTATTATTGGTTATAATCCATATCAATATAAGCCTCGCCATAAAAACATAAATATGTATATTATTTAGTTCTATTAGATATAACAATTGATTCTGTAGTTGAATGATTGATTGATTAATTAATTGATATGTATTGATTGATGGTCTGTGAATTATTGATTGTCTGACTGATTTACCGACCGATCGAAGGTTAGCACATGGTAGTTACGAGAACCATAACCTGTTTTTTGTTTTTGTTTTTTATTATTATGATCTTATATATATTTATATTTCGAGCGAGCGATTAGCAGACTATCGGTTAAACACATGATTGGTGTACACACAGATAATCTGAATTTAAATTACATTTTTATTTAGCGGTTAACGCAGAGACGTACAATATATTTCGGTTTAAAACGTTTTGAAGAAAAACGATGTTTTCTGTTTTTGATATGCGCCTTCCTCACAGCCTTTTCACCTAAAGAACATGTTTTAAGTTACAGTATTCAATTTTTAAATGTATGCAGTGTATTGGTGCAATGAAGCCTAGTGTTTGTCGGTAGTGTGTAAGATTATACTCCTATCATTGGCCAAGACTATATATAACACATTTGTTCACTCGTGGTGGGGCAGTGTTAGAACTGTAGAATGCTAGCTGTGAGCACCGAAATGGCGGCACCGGTTGTATGCTCCCCAGGGAGTTGAGACAAATATTGGCTGGTTGCAAAGGCCCTTTAACCACGGATAATAATGGTATGAACCTCTTTGAGAGACCTATAAACAAGGTTGTGATAAAGCGGTATCTAAGATCCTAGAATAAATATGTTATTATTATATGAACGTTTTTTTACGAATACATGTTGAAAGTGATTATCAGGTCCAAGAGTAAATATATGTTTCTGACATTCCCACCACATAACAATGTATGGTTCTGTCAACGTTACTATAGATATTGAACATTCGCATAGTGAAAAAAAAAGAACAGAAATGGAACATACCACTAAGTTCCAGGTGAACTATGTTACTGATGACTCCGCTTAGAAATATATTACAAATCCAATCTGTTCCTTGTTCATCCCCTGTGACGTGTGCAGCAGGAATAGTAAGCAAAAGTTCTCGGACAGGAAAAAACCCACATGTGAATGTGTAATTTTGACCTCCTTGTGCTTTTGTAGAGACACAAGAGTACTGTTAACTAGGAACATTCCTACTAGGAATGTGTTTCTCTTGTAAAATATTTGCATGTTCTCGATGATGTCCATACTGACAGAACACGTTAAAGTCAATTCGTGTTTCAGGATTGGAGAGGATGGCGTCACTGACAACGACAGTGTTTGGGCTGAAACACACGTAATGCTTGAGTGTGAAGGACTGTGCATCAATTACGTCCATAGCTTAATATATACATATATAATTTTAATATCAAATTATTTACTCTGCCATATCAATAAACATTCGAATTCATCACGTTTATCAATTTGATAAAATGAAATCAATAAAGACTTATTCAAACGTGATATTACTATACACATATGATGCAGCAGACTGTTCGACATGTACAAGTCGAAAGGCGACATCGCACACTCAACTTGACAACTGTTGATAAACCGAACAGATAAGATCGGCCTGGTGTAACTTTATATAACAACAAACAGTGTATCGGTATTGACATCAAAGTGAATAGTTCAACACGTTATATATGACTTTACATCAAAACCTGATTTCATAATGATTTCAATAATATTTAGAACTACATACCTTCAGAGATCTTGATAAAGACAAGGAAGAGAACAAGACGGGATATGATCAACGCCATTTTACTTCCTATGGTTTAAAACTTCCTTGTTCAGCAATCTGCTCATGTTACGGTACGTATTGTCAGCTTTCATTTCATACGTTTTGTGTTTTAATTATATGTGGGACACTATTGCATATCGTCCTACACATTCTTGTATTTGCTGTTTGCCTATTTTGTAAATCATTTAGGTTTTACACACCTAATGACTAATAGATAACAGTCATTTTAAAATTGCAACTACTTTTAACCCTCGAAATAACGAGGGCAGATTAATATTTTACGTCCCTAGGAAAATGTTCTCCATAAGCGTTTTCAGAGGGGTTAAGCTGTCCATAAGGCGATGACACTCTAACTCTCCAGAAATCACAATAAAACACTGTCACGAGAATGGACCACACGTTTACATCTCATAATTTGAGTATTGGAAACAATCGCGTAATAAAAACAGTCTATTTATTTACATAACTAAAATCTGCTACTAATATGAATTCGAGGCGCCATCAAAGGTCAATGATATTGATGGCGCTATCTGTTCATACTATTTCGTAGGTTAATATTGTGTAAAAGGATTGGGTTTTGAACAATTACTTGTTGTATATATTTCCGTATTTACGTTTCGTGTAACGGAGTGCGTGTACCTGGGGTATTCCCGTTGGGGATTCCTTCCCGGTATATTATTTAGACGTTTCTGATTGGTTAATATTTTTAGGATATGTTACCTTACCTGTACAGCACTCTACGCTCAGGTATGGGTCAGTATCGAGTTCAAATACTACATTGCACGTGTATTTCAAAAACTACATGGCTCGTGCATTTCAAGGCATACAATTAAATTTGGCTACATAGCTGGGTGTTTTTGGTATTGTAAATCAGTCTGGCAGAGGCTTACATGTAGCTAGCCGGCTCGTCTTTACCCTTCTTACGGGCAGGTATGTAGGAGTGTATTTCGGCCTTAGACCTCAAAATTATTCCGGGCTGGGTTGTATTTTCTCATTGTAGGCATGTTTGGGTAGAATTATCTCGGTGTTAATTTGGGATGGTTATTTTCCCGTTGTAGGCATGTTGTAATATATTATCGGGGTTTGTTTAAACTTATTCCCCGGGGTGGGATACCGGGTGGACATTTTTGAGAGGACATATGTTACACGGTATACTGTTTTAGTATGGACCGGTCGAGTGGTTGACGTGCTGTAGCATTGTGTATATCTATTCATCATGTTTAATTAATTCACTGGTTCGTTTGGTACATAATAAATTGTAGAACTTTATAAAACGTGTTGTCATTCATTGACCTGTAGCCAGCTGAAGTTAAGTCAAGACAGAACCACAGAGTTGACGAAAGAAAATCACTATACGAGGGAAAACGTTTACAATTGTAATAGAATGAGACTATCAATCAACCTACTATTGTCGTCTTCTTTTAGCGTGTTTATTTTAAATATAAGGAAATTGCAATGTATTGCAATGCATCTATATATTACAACGTTATTAATTTGAAATGCTGTAGAGCCTATCTAAAGATACTGCAAAAAGTCTTTAAAACCGTTGTATGATATACCGCTATATTACAAGGAAACTCATCAAGTCTACTGGCGTCGCCTTTTTATTCAGCTTAAAGTATCTGTCACTCTTCACAAGGACCTTATCGTTTTTGCTAGTGAAAAAATAACTGTCTGTACCTATTAAGTGAAGGCGACTCTCACACACTTTTATTCTGAAAACGTCACCATCACGTCATCACATTTTGAGGTTTTACTATGGTAACGTCATCACATTTTTTGTAAATCCCATGCACCCTTGACGAATAAGCGATGCATTGAGTTTATAATCGTATTATTGATACGGTAGGAAAGTGTGGAAGAAAACAAGCAAATCACTCCTGTGTGGTATCAACAATCAGGATAACGGGTTTTATAATCAAGAACGCAGCATATATCTACAAGTCTGTTTGTTGACTCTGATAAGTATTTGGTTACTACATTAAGACAACTCTACCTTGTAAACTGTCTCTGATGATTATTGTGTTACTATATTTAGACAACTCTACACTTTATGTTTTTCTTTGTTGTGTATTTTGTTACTATTGTTGTTGACAATATTTGCGGTTGAATGACTTCAAAGCACCTTCAAGGTCACCTTCTATATAGGTTTGATGGTGTTTTATTACCTTTAAACTAAGACTATCTAAAGGAAATGGACAACGACCGAATAGAAAGATGATATTAGGAATGCTGAATAAGCACTTGTTAATGAAATGGAGGAAGGAAATATGGGAATGATCAGATGATGAAATTCAAATCGATTTTTTCTCAATGATCTTATTTTTTATTATTTTTATCTTTAAGCCAATAATAATATAACCGCTCTACTGTATATAACCTGTAGTCTATAAAGACGAAATTTACATAAATTTATATGTTGATATTCATATTTATACAATACTAAATATTCAAATATTTGCAAGCAGAAGTATAATACAATATATACAAACATGAATCCCCACGAGATTTAGAAACCACTGCTAAGCAAAGCGATTGTTCTTTTATTTTTATTATGCAATATATGCTGTTTTTCAAGCAAAATCTTTATGTTCTAGAAGTAGTAGGCAATATATCATGCAACAACGATGTGTATCAAGATAATAATATGGGGTTCAATCCCAGAAATAAAAGAACATCTGTGTTTTGTTGTCGGTGTTTTAGAGTTTTGTTCTGTCTTTGTTCATTACCTTATAAGTATATTTTTATAAACGCAATGTAAGCATGTAAATAATGAGGGTAACCAAAAATGACACATTGAGAGATTGTGTGTGCAAAGTCGAACCTGATCCGTCTGACTTCTTGAATAACTTACCCATAGAATTGCTGCATGAAATGAAATACCATCCGTATATACAGTGTTACGCCAGTTATCAATTAATCTCATGTTAAAAATACCAGTCGTTGTACCATAGTTAGTTTTATTTACCAAGAAGACAATACCAACATAACATTAAAATGGTATAAATTACATAACAGTATTTTGTAATGAAGTTCTGGTATTAAGAGAACAGGAAAGGTCAGTGGAAATTTGCGATCAAATGCATTAAACTACTATGTAAATTAACCTGATGTGGAAAGCACATTTTTCACTCAATTGAATTTGAAACTTTAGTAGTGCTACATTAACTCTGTCGATTTTTTTTTATATGTTCGACGTTTTGAAAATATAAATAACACTTTATTGTACAATTAATGACTTATATAATAATTGTGCATAACATCATCAATCACCCCCAAAAAAACAGTAAAATAAGTATGTTCTCAGTGTCTTTGAGAGTAATCCAACATAATCGACCTCACTTTAAAGTGATGTGAATATAATGTCTTTCGTCACAACATTTTGCTGATGGTAATAATCAATCACAAAAAAATCTTATTCCAATTACAAATAGACGATACTTACTAATGACAGACACCTGTGTTGACGCTGATCCTATCTGTGTGTAGTTGGATAGGTAGACAAGACAGCTGTATGTATTACCGTGTACTGGGGCAAGGATGCATAATCTTACGTCATTAGAGGCCAAGTTACACGAAATGTTGTATGACATAGAGGGTGCAGAACACGGAGGTGTAGCTGTAGGAGTGGCAGTGGCAGCATTAGCGCTGTCCTTATCCTTCCATAGTAACTGTCCCAGCGTCCCTCCTCCAAGGTCATATGTACAGGTCAGCCACAACACGGCTCCCTCTGTGACCATGGCAATAGGGGATGGATTTACCACCACACTGACTCCTGTTACAAGGCTTCCTGGTAATATAAAGTTTACTATCAAAAATTGGAGAATGAACTGAAGATGTCATAGATAAAAATCGACATGGAAAGCCACAGACTATTGCCAATGACATAACATCGTAGAATAAAGAAGTATTACTCCACACCTCACAAAATATAAAATAAATCAATAGATCAGGCGTCAAAGAGGATGCCCTGTACGGAAATGTGGACTGAGTCACATCATGGCATGTCTAAAGTGTTTTTGTCGTATGCAGGAAAATATGTCGTTTGCCAACATATAATCACAGTTGAGTGTGCGAAAGACGTTCATGTATAGCAATCATACAATGACTGTAACACACATCAGTGCAATGTTGCTTGACTAATGATCAGCTGAAAAATAATCCCATTATAAATTATGTGTTAAAATATTGCTAGCTGATGTGTTTTACGTCAGCTTCACCACCGGGTAGTTCGGTTATCCCGCAGACGAACAGTCTAGGAGAGACATGCATTGATTTTATAACAGTTTGGCTTGCCTGAGGGAAGGTATGCAGCTTTAAGTTTAGAATAGTGTCAACAATAGCACGTAGATGTGTGTCACGTCATACATGTACATGTGTGTAACCCCGTGTGGTGCATGTCATTTGTGTAATACTCATGTAATTGAAAACATAACACAATTTGTATGTCCCGGTAACGGGTTATCTCTGTCAGGGAGATGTATATAAACTTACCTGTCAGAATTTGTAGTAATACAACAACACCAGGTAGGGTATACGCCATAACTGAATAAGCACAGACTTGTGGTTATATGTGTAACATAGATATATTTTAAGTTCCTGGTTGGCCGCGTATATAAATAGTACAGTATTATGTGACCAATATTCGCTGTGTACAAAAACCACTTAACGTATTTGTTTACATTTTAAGAGAACTGAGGTAAACATGGATTATTCCTTCATATCCTTTTTGTTGTTACGCCATTCACATGCTTAGAATGACGACATTTGAGACCTTTTTTGACGCGATTATTATTTTAAGATATTTATACAATTTTTGCAGGTTTGAGATATTGACAAAGGCATACCGATCATCACGTCATTACACTTGTGACGTCATAGTAGTAATACATAAGCTAAGTTATCAATTAGAAATGCAACGCAGAATAAATTTTATAAAGACATAAGTGTTCCATCAAACCAGCTATAAAAATAACAGAACATTTTTATAAGCATGAATATAAAAAAAACTTAACAAATGTAAATAAATGATTTAAACGATATATTGTTTTACTTTTTATGTTGTCATGCATCTGCAAACCTATATTTACCAGCTGATAATCGCTGTATGATCCACATCACCATACTAACGTCAGAAATATATAGTCATAATAACGTTGTATATATAGTTTGAAGTATTATTGATCAACCCAACTCAGCGGAAACCAGTTACATAGACACACAACTTAGAGAAGCTACTGCCGAAAAACAAATCGTTCCAATTCAATACAAATATCCTATACAATCTTAACAGACAGAACGGAAATAGATATATCACCTTCATAACAACAGTAGTCCAGTTATCACAGAACTCTTTTTATCACATAACTGACCCATTTTACTGTCATACGGCCTGGTAGTGAATATTGTATTACACACGTGTAATAAAACCTTAAGGTGTTGCGATAGCTCAAAACATTGGGTACATATGCCAGCTTAATTATGACGTCATAAAGAATGCAACGTCAGATTTTTAGTTCTAATGTGTTGCATGGGCCGCACTTGCCCCGGTATCATGGGCCCAACGTCTCCGGGACCAAATTGATATTTCAATAAATTCTTATATCACAGCAATATGATATTACGTGCTTGGCTTGGCTTTCATGTATATCACTTGAAGCCATCAGTGTGTTACACGTTTGACCGTAAAAGAGTAGCAATTCCGTTTACAGAAAGTTCGTATAACTAGAAAGAAGCAAGATCATGATTTTCTTTCTACCCTCTCAAAAGTAACTTTCTCCTGTTTAGTAATTTTACATTAGTTTCCTCGCCAATTTTTCGTGTGAATGCCCAGCCAACGAAACTCCAAAGATCTATACAGTTGTAAATATTAGCTCAAAAGCAAAAGTATTAGGGATGGCCGTATTTCCCCGATCTCCCGTATGTAGATTTTTTGTATCATATATTTTTAGTAAAAATGTATTCACGATATAATGTTTGCATCAATGACGCCATTTTCTTCCAGTCAAAGTTAAAGTAGATATTAGTTCTTGTGTGTAAAATATAAGATGGGTCGGATGGCTTAGTGGATAGCGCAATTGTCTGCACTATGATGGCCGGATCCGATCCCGGTCACCTACCCGACCACACGGGTTTTTCTCTCGATTCTCCGGTTTCCTCCAACATTAAGAATTAAATCCTCTGCGTGCTTCCGTCAGGGTACAAAAGGAATGATTACGATAATTTGGGAAAAACTGTTTGGTAATTGCTATAGAAAAAAAAATCATATTACATGATTGATGATTAATCTTATTAAATGTATAAAGATATCAGGTTAAAAAAAAAAAAGGACCATACGTTAATTTGGAAAAACTTGTTTGGTTCGGCACGCGTTGTGAAAATGTAATACGTTCCTGAAAAGGGGCGTTAAACTCGGGTTGGTGATCTGTCAAATCATTGTTGATATCGACATAAATGCATTATCAATTGTTTCCTTTATGAGTGGTAATGCACCAATAAATTATGTAAAGACTATAACAAGACGACTAAAAAAAGTTTATTATTTCGTTCATATTCTCAAATGAAAATAAAGACCTGATGAAAAAATAAATGTACACGTAGACCCAGTGGTTTCATGCCGCCTTTTTTTTAAGATGTCTCCCGGTAAAAATATCAACAGAACCTGATTAATGACAAAAGGATCTTCAGAAAATATCCGCAATTTTACTTTTGTGCCTGTGGAAAAAAAACAGAAATAAAAATCCTTAAGCACCGACAAAGAGATAAATGTAGCGAACCTCAGTTCCAAGATTTTCCGGTTATTTTGCATCCTTCCGAAAATAACCCATGAAGGACGTGTTTGTGACATCATAGTATGATAATCTCTGAACGAAGTTTCATGCATGTTAGTATCGTATTTTATGTAACGGACATTTTTCCACTAAGAATGTATATCAGTTGTTATCTAAATAATAAAGTAATCAAAACGTTTTTTACTTTTTACTTTATGACGATGTTCATGTATGTGTTGAAACACAATTGTCGTTCCTTCAATGATACACTTCCGGTTTCCCCACTGATCGGCTACTTCCGGATGAGAAAAATTAAGGCAATGTGTAACAAGGGGAGGCAACGCTGTTTACGCACGTATGTGTTACCATACGCTCCTAATAATTGATTTTCCTTTTGAAATTATTTTACTCTACTTGCAATGTTCCTCAACTGATGAACTAGGCAACATGAATTAAATGGTTATGATTCAATATCATGTTTAAATATTTGTATTATCATTCACCAAATTAATGTAGATCTAGAAATATCAAGTGTTTGT